ACAAGCCTCAGACTGTGCAAATGATGTGGTCTGCGGTTCAGGGTTTGGGGGTTCAGGGTTTTCCTGCTGCAAGGACGTCACAAGGAACTAACAGCTCTCCAACACGCAGCCTGTCCAACTCCAGAAATTCCCAGACCCGAGCCAGGGCACCACATGGATCGCCACGTCTTCAGAGCCTGGGGAATCTCTCGGTTTCTTGTCTTCTCTCAGCTCCCGAATCTGCTGTGCTGATCGAAGCGATGCTTGCGGGGCAGCTGCCATGATGTGCATGGGAGCTTTGTCGTGGTTTCGTTTCTGTGTTCAGGGCTTGTGGAGGTCGACATGTTAGGTGGGTTCCTGGCGGTGTTGCCGATGGGGTGCAATGTTTATGTCACAAGAAGCGTTGGCATGCTTCAAGCGCTCTCAAGCAAAGCCAAAACTAGACTGCAAACTTCAAGCTGTGAGCCCATTTCCTGCATTGTCTGCGTCCCCAGAAAGGCCAACGCACTCCCATCCAACACTGCCAGCCTGCGCAATGCCCCCACGGGGCTGCCGGTTTTCGGCATCCTCAGCAGAACATCCGATGTGTGGGGGGGGGCGAAGCTTCGGCCAAAGTGTAGGAAGTCTGTCGCACCGGGGTGAGGTTTTTTGGGGTATTGCTGTTTTGGGGGAGCTCGCACTGCCAACTGAACCCTGCGGACCGCAGCCAATTTCCTGTAGGAGCGATGCGGAACGGATTGTTGATCTGCGCATGCAAGAACTTGAAATTCTACCTAGTCGGTGGCGCAAGCCGGTTTGCGCGTCTTCTTGGGCCGACCGGCTCCAAGGCTAAACATGCAAATTGCCCCCCGGCCCCCTTGCAGCTGCCAGGTTCCATGAGGCCAGCTGCAGCCAGGACCAGGACGGGGCGTCGATCCTGCTCGCCCTGGCCATTTGGTGCTCTCCGCTCTCCAATTTGCCGAACATGGTCTTAGAAAGGGCTTCAGCCTTCAGATTAAGAGTCTTATCGGTTGTCGGTACCCACCGACCTCGGTCTTAAGGTGACTGAGAAGAGAAGTCAGAAGATGATCAAAGTGTTGCGGAGCGCGTCCCTTATCATTGCCCTCTTCCTTCCGAGGCCCCTGCTGTCACATCACAGGCATGGTACGTCATCAAGTTCAAGCGGTGGGAGAAGGCGAGGAAGTCGTCTTGTTTCAGAAACTGCTCCTGATCTGCAGCTACCATGCCTCACCCCGCCCCATCCCTCCCGCCACCCTAAAATACTCAAACAATCATTGAGGCAAGATTGTCCAGGCAAAAGTTGGAAGTGAAGCGCCACGAACCTACCGACAGCCTGAGCCTGAAAGGACATCCAACCCACGGGCAATTACCGTCCACGCACTGGAACCTCGACTGTTTCAGCTTGGGCGCCCCCTTCTGCAGCCACGGGCCTGACTCATTTGGGCAATCATCTCCACAGTGTGCCCAAAAGGACACACCGAACATCACTCGTCATATGTTGTGCAGCATTTTTGCTCGACAGCCGACCCCCCTCCGTAAGCTGCTATCTTCTCTTTGTCATGCATGCTGAGTCTGACAGCAATGGGCTAGGCCGAGGTCCTAGGTCTCAGCGAGACTTGCCTGCATTTGCCTGCAATGAAATGAAAAAAAGGAGCAGCCGCTCCGACACCATCTGCCTTTGTTGCCCTAAGGCCATGATCCTTGTACCTCCATTCATACATTTCAGTTCAATCTAGTCACATATCATGGATGCGTTTCGATCCCATTGTGGGACTGGTCCACAACCCTGAAGCCAGGTTCCCAGCGTTTCACAGCGCGTCCCGTCACCAGAACGCGGAGGGCGAGCTGATCCTCCACAGCTGAGTGAATGGCATCTGAGTGAGCCTAATCCCGACCCTCAGAAGACAAGTCCGGGATCCACAGTGGGTGTTCTTCTTAACTAGGGTCTACTTACTTGTCTACGCTTGCGTGCGCGGGCAGGAGCCGAGAAAGTCGGGGGTGGAGGGGGTTGCTGCAGGGGCCCAGCCTCCTGTGAGAGAAACGGGTACCCAGCTTCTGCGGGCCCGCGAAACAGCACGATATCATCCTCCATGAGGCTCTATTGGGGTTCAAGGGTCCGCGGAGATCTCTGCTCAAAACCTCCAGTTGGGGTTGAGGATCTCAGGGTGTTTTGGGCAGCTAGCAGCGCCAGCGGTTAGAGCAACGAAGCTTCGGTCCCCAAAACAAACCAGAACCTTTGGCCGAACACTGGGGGCTTGTAGGCCTTGGTGGACCCCTGATCTGCACCTCCTCAACCACTTCAGGCCCCCTACACTTCGCCTCCCATCCAGGGTCTACACGCTTCGCCAAGGGCACGTCCCTACCGGCTCAGCTGGGGAATCTCCCGAACATGCTTCTCCAAATTTCAAAGCAATCGGAAGATCGCGCCTTTCGACAACATCCGGAATCTTCGCCCAGGTAGGGTTTCTGAGTCTCTGCGAACCCGGACCTCCCAAGGCCCTAAAACCAGGCTCCCCAACACAGCGCCAGGGCACCGCCACGATGATGGCGGGCTCGTGTATATGGCAGAGCCTCTCCTTTGCAGTCTGTCGGGCCTGCACCAGCGCTTGGGAGTGAGAGAGCTGAAGCTTCGACTGGGACCTTTCCAGCCAAAACTGCTCGCCCAAGAAGGCCCTAGAAACAGTCCCAAGCTCTGCACGGGTCGGGTGGGCTCTCCCAACACACATCGAACTACCAAAACGGCTCTCGTACTCAGAATGAACAGGACCCTGCCGATCAAGCCTTGCACTGGGGAGGGATGCAAAGAGGGACGCACGCCACACACGGAGGAACGCGGCGGAGGAACGGAGCGAGGAACGCGGGGGACACGGCGGAGCGCGACAGATGCGGTGAGAGGGACCCCTGATGTTTGCCCAGAATGCCCAGATGCACAGGATGCTCTGCAGGGATGCATTAACACCGTGAACGTTCAGCCCAAGGGGTCATGGATGCTCTGACAACATGGACGCTCCTATCGTGTAGGCACGAATGCTTTGCTGGCCACCGGATGCTCTGGATGCATGCACCAAGAACATGGATGTTAGCATTGTGCAAGCATGGATGCTCGGGTGGTAACATGGACGTTCTTATCGTGGAGGTCTCGAACCGGACCTCCTCATAGTGCGCGCACGCATGTCGCATGCTATGGATGCATCGGTACAATGCAAGTTCTTCTCGTGTGGGCATGGATGCTCTGGCCACTGGATGCTCTGGTAACCTGGACGGTGTTATCGTGCAGGAAGAGAGATTCTCGAACTGGACGCAAGGGCAACATGGATGATCATGGATGTTGTCGCACGGACATGAATGCTCTGAATGTGCGGGCAACATGGACGCCAGTGGTCACGTGGACATTCTTCTCCTGCAGATGAGCAGGGATGCGGTGGATGTACTGGAAACATGGACGTCTTTATGACGTGGGCTCTGGATGCAGGGGTACAGGAAACATGGACGTTCTGGATGCACGGCAACATGCACGCACTGAGCCCGTTCTTATCACCGGGCATGGATGCTCTGGCCACTGCATGCGCTTGTAGCATGGACGATCATGGACGTTCCTATCGCCCGGGCATGGACGCTCTGGCCACTAACATCAAATTGGTTGCACCTTGCCCACTTTCTACCCCATCCACGGCCTTGGCGCAAAGCAGGTTGGCCGCCCGGGCGGTGAAAACCTCAAGCTCGCTTCGGTTCAAGAGAAGGATTTGAGATGCTCGGAGGGGCTGTTTCGGGGGCGTCTTTAGACTCCTTAAACACCTGTCCCCAACACACACACGTAACCTTTCAAGATACTCGTTCATGAAGTGTCGTCTTCACATTCGAATACAGTTAAGCAAGTGACAAAAATGCCATCGGTTTGACTGTACTGTCATCTTCTCACAAGGGTTACCGTGCTTTTCCACTCTTATTGTCGCACAAGGCAAATGCCGCTATTCGCTTGCAGGGCGGCGTTCTCATAACCCAAACAATCCCAGTATGGCTTTGTTATGCTTTGTTGACGTATGGTGCAGTGTCGCAAGCCCCTCCCCAGTTCATGGTTTTTGGGCTGGCTTCTTTTGACTTTGGGACTTTAGCCTCTCACAGCTAGCGCACGCGAAGGCCAGACCAGGCCAGAGATCTCAGTCGGGCGAGCTGTAGGTACTTGGAAGGTGCAACGGGGACCCGACCCCAAAAAAAAAGCACAAAAAGAAAAAGAAACAGGAGTCCGGGAGCGACGACCCCCCCCGCCCCAACCCCCAACCAACCGAACAGCAGCACCTCCTCCACCCCCCCAACCCCCCCTTTCGGCCACTCCAAACAGCCACGTATTGCTTCCTTTCACTTTGCCTTGACAGTCTATGAGGCAAGCTGCCTGCTACCCGCTCCACGCACTTGCTTCTCTTCGGCTAACCCCCCCCCCCCCCCCCCCCCACTTTTGGCTGCTGCAACCTACCCTAAAACCCCGCTGCGAAACCCTAAGGCCCACGGAGCCTGGCGTGCCAAACTTGCCTCGCCGCGGCAGTGGCGGCGGGGTCGTGGTAGTCAAATTAACAGCGCGTCTCCCTTCGTGGTTAGAGGGAGGGCACCGCCAGGAGAAGCCCTGATCACGTGTTGAACCCGAGACGCTGGATTGCAGCCTAGAGACAAAATTCGTGCAGGTGAACATCTCGTGCTGCTGTAGGCTTCGTGCCTTGCGGCACATGATTCTTCGCACGAAGCTTTCAAGCGGCTCTGTCAGAATAAGCGAGGACAAAGCATTGCATTTTTTTCAGCGCAAGCTCTCCTGGAGGCGCACCACACTACAGTACACAATGATGCGCCTGCGCAGCCCTCCGCTCACACTCCGCACACTCGCTTGACTCATCGCTTTGAGTACAACGTGTGGGAGAGCCAGTCCAGACCCTCGTACAGACCGCTACGCGTGGTGGCGCAAGCGGACTGGATGAACCATTGACGATGGCGCAGGTTGTCCAGCCCAAGCTTCTCGGTAACTTCGGCCGCAGTCATTGCATCCGGCAGGTCCTGTCAGAAGAATCATGGGGATGAAGCAACTCTAAACCAAGAAGAGCTTCCCTCACGAATCCGTCCAACACCCAAAACCAACGCGCCTGCTTGTTTGCAAAAACCAGAACGACTGCATCGCGCATCTCGTCTTCGTTCAGCATCTTGTTGAGCTCCTCGCGGGCGTCTTCGATGCGATCCCGGTCGTTGCTGTCGACGACGTAGATCAGGCCGCTTGTGCCCTGATAGTAGTGGCGCCACAGAGGGCGAATCATGTCCTGGCCTCCGACATCCCAAACTGTGAACGACAGGTTCTTGTACCTGGCATGACACTGACACGTGGGCGGCAGACACCAAGACAACGAAAGCACTGCTTGAATCTCTCTGCCAAGCTACTCCACAGTCTCCACGTTGAAGCCGATGGTTGGAATCCTCGGGTGCTGGCGGAAGCTGGCAAACAATGATCATTCTGAATCATTCTGGGTTACTTGGGTTGCCTTGCTGCTAGGCGACAGGACAAACCTCGCGAACGTCTCACAGCAACGAAACGTTCTGGCAAGAGTCGTGGTGACAACCTCGCCCAACTCCAGCTTGGAGAGGATTGTTGTCTTACCCGCCGCATCTAAGCCGACCATCTAAATGCGCATCTCCCGCATTCCGATCAGGGGCTCGAATATCTTCCCGAACGCCAGACCCATGGCTCCGGAGCTCGTCTCGCCCAAAGAGCGAGAAAAAGGGGGGGGCTGCTAGGAGAGAGGGCTAGAAATTAAATCCTCACGGCGGGCAAAACTCAACTTTGCGCGATGGGTTGCGCTGGGCAGCTCACAGCGGGCGTCGCATGACATTTGCCTTTGTGCTCACACCGGCAAGTCTAGAACACCAGGCTGCTGTACACAGACCCTTCCACCCGGTAAAGGCAAGACAGCCAACGCAAACTCCCCTGGAGACGTACCACACTACACAATGATACGCCTGTGCAGCCCTCCGCTCACATTCCGCGCACTCGCTTGACTCATCGCTTTGAGGACAACGTGCGGGAGAGCCAGTCCAGACCCTCGTACAGACCGTCACCCGTGGTGGCGCAGGCGGACTGGATGAACCATTGACGATGGCGCAGGTTGTGCAGTCCGAGCTTCTCGGTAACTTCGGCCGCAGTCATTGCATTTGGCAGGTCCTGTCAGAAGAGTCATAGAGGAAAGCAGAACTGCATCCAGCGCAACCACCTCAGTTCGACAACTGTCGTGCCTGCTTGTTCGCAAAGACCAGGACGACTGCATCGCGCATCTCGTCTTCGTTCAGCATCTTGTTGAGCTCCTCGCGGGCGTCTTCGATGCGATCCCTGTCGTTGCTGTCAACGACGTAGATCAGGCCGTTTGTGCCCTGATAGTAGTGGCGCCACAGAGGGCGAATCTTGTCCTGGCCTCCGACGTCCCACACCGTGAACGACAGGTTCTTGTACCTGGCAAGACATGTGACACCGACACGGACAATGAAAGCAGATCCCAACAGATCGGCGGACATGATGCTTGAATCTCTCTTTCCCAAGCTACTCCACAGTCTCCACGTTGAAGCCGATGGTTGGAATCCTCAGGTGCTGGCGGAAGCTAGCAAACAATGATCATTCTGGGTTACTTCGGTTGCCTTGCTGCAAGGCGACAGGACAAACCTCGCCTCAAAACATTCTGGCAAGAGTCGTGGTGACCACTTCGCCCAACTTCAGCTTGTAGAGGATGGTTGTCTTACCGGCCGCATCTAAGCCGACCATCAAAATGCGCATCTCCTGCTTTCCGATCATGCGCTGCCATATCTTCGTGAACGCCAGACCCATGGCTCAGGAGCTCGTCTCGCCCAAAGCGCAGGGGGGGCTGCTCGGAGAGAACTCTGCTGAGCCCGAGTTGTCCGAAGCCAGTCCCAACCCAGCAAACCTGCATTTTGGCTAGAAATCCTCACGGCTGGACAAGAGTTCTTAACTATGCTTGACAGGTGCTGCGCAGCTCAGGCGAATGGAAGCCACCCCGAAACCTTCCACTACCTCAAATACTGCGGCACTGCTTTTGCCAGGCAATGGGCTTCGCATGACAATTGGGCTGCGCTGACACCGAAAGGCGTAGCACACCAGGCTCCTGTACAAACTTCCACCTCGAAGGCAAGACCGCCAAAACTCTCCTGGAGGCATACCACACTACACAATGATACACCCCCTGCAGCCCTCCGCCCATGCTTTGTCGCTGGACTTATCGCTTTGAGGACAACGTGCGGGAGAGCCAGTCCAGACCCTCGTACAGACCGTCTCCGGTGGTGGCGCAGGCGGACTGGATGAACCATTGACGATGGCGCAGGTTGTGCAGTCCGAGCTTCTCGGTAACTTCGGCCGCAGTCATTGCATTCGGCAGGTCCTGTCAGAAGAGTCATAGAGGAAAGCAGAACTGCATCCAGCGCAACCACCTCAGTTCGACAACTGTCGTGCCTGCTTGTTCGCAAAGACCAGGACGACTGCATCGCGCATCTCGTCTTCGTTCAGCATCTTGTTGAGCTCCTCGCGGGCGTCTTCGATGCGATCCCTGTCGTTGCTGTCAACGACGTAGATCAGGCCGTTTGTGCCCTGATAGTAGTGGCGCCACAGAGGGCGAATCTTGTCCTGGCCTCCGACGTCCCACACCGTGAACGACAGGTTCTTGTACCTGGCAAGACACATGACACTGACACAAGACAATGAAAGCAGATCCCAACAGATCGGCGGACATGATGCTTGAATCTCTCTTTCCCAAGCTACTCCACAGTCTCCACGTTGAAGCCGATGGTTGGAATCCTCGGGTGCTGGCGGAAGCTGGCAAACAATGATCATTCTGGGTTACTTGGGTTGCCTTGCTGCTAGGCAACAGGACAAACCTCGCGAACGTGTCACAGCAACAAAACGTTCTGGCAAGAGTCGTGGTGACAACCTCGCCCAACTTCAGCTTGTAGAGGATGGTTGTCTTACCGGCCGCATCTAAGCCGACCATCAAAATGCGCATCTCCTGCTTTCCGATCAGGCGCTGCCATATCTTCGTGAACGCCAGACCCATGGCTCAGGAGCTCGTCTCGCCCAAAGCGCAGGGGGGCTGCTAGGAGAGAAATCTGCAGAGCCGAAAGCAGCGGTACCTGATCACTTTGGACACGAGACATGATACTAAATCAGAAACAATGTGAGAAACAAGGCAGCGGAACTTGAAAACTACGCTGACCAGCCATAGTTTCAGCACAGCCACCTGTGCGGTTCTCTCAGCTCTCTCGTTGGCATATGCAGCATGCAACGTACCCTGCAACGGCTCTTTCAGCCGAGCAGGGCTGCCAAAACACGTTCTCCTGGAGGCATACCACGCTACATAATGATACACCCCCTGTAGCCCTCCACCCATGCTTTGTCGCTGGACTTATCGCTTTGAGGACAACGTGCGGGAGAGCCAGTCCAGACCCTCGTACAGACCGTCTCCCGTGGTGGCGCAGGCGGACTGGATGAACCATTGACGATGGCGCAGGTTGTGCAGTCCGAGCTTCTCGGTAACTTCGGCCGCAGTCATTGCATTCGGCAGGTCCTGTCAGCAGAATCATGGAGATGAAGAAACTCAAAACCAAGAAGCGCTTCCCTCTCGAATCCGTCCAAACCGCAAAACTAGCGCGCCTGCTTGTTTGCAAAGACCAGGACGACTGCATCGCGCATCTCGTCTTCGTTCAGCATCTTGTTGAGCTCCTCGCGGGCGTCTTCGATGCGATCCCGGTCGTTGCTGTCAACGACGTAGATCAGGCCGTTTGTGCCCTGATAGTAGTGGCGCCACAGAGGGCGAATCTTGTCCTGGCCTCCGACGTCCCACACCGTGAACGACAGGTTCTTGTACCTGGCAAGACATGTGACACCGACACGGACAATGAAAGCAGATCCCAACAGATCGGCGGACATGATGCTTGAATCTCTCTTTCCCAAGCTACTCCACAGTCTCCACGTTGAAGCCGATGGTTGGAATCCTCAGGTGCTGGCGGAAGCTAACAAACAATGATCATTCTGGGTAACTTCGGTTGCCTTGCTGCTAGGCGACAGGACAAACCTCGCGAACGTCTCACAGCAACAAAACATTCTGGCAAGAGTCGTGGTGACAACCTCGCCCAACTTCAGCTTGTAGAGGATGGTTGTCTTACCGGCCGCATCTAAGCCGACCATCAAAATGCGCATCTCCTGCTTTCCGATCAGGCGCTGCCATATCTTCGTGAACGCCAGACCCATGGCTCAGGAGCTCGTCTCGCCCAAAGCGCAGGGGGGGGCTGCTCGGAGAGAACTCTGCTGAGCCAGAAGATGCAGCCAATTTGCCAGAGTCATGTGACAATTAACTACGTGACTACAGGTTTGGGTGACGGTGACCACGCGGCCCAGTGAAGCACATGCCAGCCAGCCTCGTGGCAAGACAATGCGCTGTTTCTGGCCCAGCCGCTTCAGCTCAGCCACTGGGGCAGTGGTCTATCAGCAACTACAGCTGAAGAACACGCAGGCTTGTGGCCGAGCACTGTCCAGCCTGCGAGAACGAATTCTCCTCAAGGCATACCACACTACACAATGATATGCCCCCGGGGCCCTCCGCTCACATTCCGCGCACTTGCTTGGCTCATCGCTTTGAGGACAACGTGCGGGAGAGCCAGTCCAGACCCTCGTACAGACCGTCACCCGTGGTGGCGCAGGCGGACTGGATGAACCATTGACGATGGCGCAGGTTGTGCAGTCCGAGCTTCTCGGTAACTTCGGCCGCTGTCATTGCATTCGGCAGGTCCTGTCAGAAGAGTCATAGAGGAAAGCAGAACTGCATCCAGCGCAACCACCTCAGTTCGACAACTGTCGCGCCTGCTTGTTTGCAAAAACCAGGACGACTGCATCGCGCATCTCGTCTTCGTTCAGCATCTTGTTGAGCTCCTCGCGGGCGTCTTCGATGCGATCCCGGTCGTTGCTGTCAACGACGTAGATCAGGCCGTTTGTGCCCTGATAGTAGTGGCGCCACAGAGGGCGAATCTTGTCCTGGCCTCCGACGTCCCACACCGTGAACGACAGGTTCTTGTACCTGGCAAGACATGTGACACCGACACGGACAATGAAAGCAGATCCCAACAGATCGGTGGACATGCTGCTAGAATGTCTCTGCCAAGCTACTCCACAGTCTCCACGTTGAAGCCGATGGTTGGAATCCTCGGGTGCTGGCGGAAGCTGGCAAACAATGATCATTCTGGGTTACTTGGGTTGCCTTGCTGCTAGGCGACAGGACAATCCTCGCGAACGTCTCACAGCAACAAAACATTCTGGCAAGAGTCGTGGTGACCACTTCGCCCAACTTCAGCTTGTAGAGGATGGTTGTCTTACCGGCCGCATCTAAGCCGACCATCAAAATGCGCATCTCCTGCTTTCCGATCAGGCGCTGCCATATCTTCGTGAACGCCAGACCCATGGCTCAGGAGCTCGTCTCGCCCAAAGCGCAGGGGGGGCTGCTCGGAGAGAACTCTGCTGAGCCCGAGTTGTCCGAAGCCAGTCCCAACCCAGCAAACCTGCATTTTGGCTAGAAATCCTCACGGCTGGACAAGAGTTCTTAACTATGCTTGACAGGTGCTGCGCAGCTCAGGCGAATGGAAGCTACCCCGAAACCTTCCACTACCTCAAATACTGCGGCACTGCTTTTGCCAGGCAATGGGCTTCGCATGACAATTGGGCTGCGCTGACACCGAAAGGCGTAGCACACCAGGCTCCTGTACAAACTTCCACCTCGAAGGCAAGACCGCCAAAACTCTCCTGGAGGCATACCACACTACACAATGATACACCCCCTGCAGCCCTCCGCCCATGCTTTGTCGCTGGACTTATCGCTTTGAGGACAACGTGCGGGAGAGCCAGTCCAGACCCTCGTACAGACCGTCTCCCGTGGTGGCGCAGGCGGACTGGATGAACCATTGACGATGGCGCAGGTTGTGCAGTCCGAGCTTCTCGGTAACTTCGGCCGCTGTCATTGCATTCGGCAGGTCCTGTCAGCAGAATCATGGAGATGAAGAAACTCAAAACCAAGAAGCGCTTCCCTCTCGAATCCGTCCAAACCGCAAAACTAGCGCGCCTGCTTGTTTGCAAAGACCAGGACGACTGCATCGCGCATCTCGTCTTCGTTCAGCATTTTGTTGAGCTCCTCGCGGGCGTCTTCGATGCGATCCCGGTCGTTGCTGTCAACGACGTAGATCAGGCCGTTTGTGCCCTGATAGTAGTGGCGCCACAGAGGGCGAATCTTGTCCTGGCCTCCGACGTCCCACACCGTGAACGACAGGTTCTTGTACCTGGCAAGACATGTGACACCAACACGGACAATGAAAGCAGATCCCAACAGATCGGTGGACATGCTGCTAGAATATCTCTCCCAAGCTACTCCACAGTCTCCACGTTGAAGCCGATGGTTGGAATCCTCAGGTGCTGGCGGAAGCTGGCAAACAATGATCATTCTGGGTTGCTTGGGTTGCCTTGCTGCTAGGCGACAGGACAAACCTCGCGAACGTCTCACAGCAACAAAACATTCTGGCAAGAGTCGTGGTGACCACTTCGCCCAGCTTCAGCTTGTAGAGGATGGTTGTCTTACCGGCCGCATCTAAGCCGACCATCAAAATGCGCATCTCCTGCTTTCCGATCAGGCGCTGCCATATCTTCGTGAACGCCAGACCCATGGCTCAGGAGCTCGTCTCGCCCAAAGCGCAGGGGGGGCTGCTCGGAGAGAACTTTGCTGAGCCCGAGTTGTCCGAAGGCAGTCCCAACCCAGCAAACCTGCATTTTGGCTAGAAATCCTCACGGCTGGAGAAGAGTTCTTAACTATGCTTGACAGGTGCTGCGCAGCTCAGGCGAATGGAAGCTACCCCGAAACCTTCCACTACCTCAAATACTGCGGCACTGCTTTTGCCAGGCAATGGGCTTCGCATGACAATTGGGCTGCGCCGACACCGAAAGGCGTAGCACACCAGGCTCCTGTACAAACTTCCACCTCGAAGGCAAGACCGCCAAAACTCTCCTGGAGGCATACCACACTACACAATGATACACCCCCTGCAGCCCTCCGCCCATGCTTTGTCGCTGGACTTATCGCTTTGAGGACAACGTGCGGGAGAGCCAGTCCAGACCCTCGTACAGACCGTCTCCGGTGGTGGCGCAGGCGGACTGGATGAACCATTGACGATGGCGCAGGTTGTGCAGTCCGAGCTTCTCGGTAACTTCGGCCGCAGTCATTGCATTCGGCAGGTCCTGTCAGCAGAATCATGGAGATGAAGAAACTCAAAACCAAGAAGCGCTTCCCTCTCGAATCCGTCCAAACCGCAAAACTAGCGTGCCTGCTTGTTTGCAAAGACCAGGACGACTGCATCGCGCATCTCGTCTTCGTTCAGCATCTTGTTGAGCTCCTCGCGGGCGTCTTCGATGCGATCCCGGTCGTTGCTGTCAACGACGTAGATCAGGCCGTTTGTGCCCTGATAGTAGTGGCGCCACAGAGGGCGAATCTTGTCCTGGCCTCCGACGTCCCACACCGTGAACGACAGGTTCTTGTACCTGGCAAGACATGTGACACCAACACGGACAATGAAAGCAGATCCCAACAGATCGGTGGACATGCTGCTAGAATCTCTCTCCCAAGCTACTCCACAGTCTCCACGTTGAAGCCGATGGTTGGAATCCTCAGGTGCTGGCGGAAGCTAGCAAACAATGATCATTCTGGGTTACTTCGGTTGCCTTGCTGCAAGGCGACAGGACAAACCTCGCCTCAAAACATTCTGGCAAGAGTCGTGGTGACCACTTCGCCCAACTTCAGCTTGTAGAGGATGGTTGTCTTACCGGCCGCATCTAAGCCGACCATCAAAATGCGCATCTCCTGCTTTCCGATCATGCGCTGCCATATCTTCGTGAACGCCAGACCCATGGCTCAGGAGCTCGTCTCGCCCAAAGCGCAGGGGGGGCTGCTCGGAGAGAACTCTGCTGAGCCCGAGTTGTCCGAAGCCAGTCCCAACCCAGCAAACCTGCATTTTGGCTAGAAATCCTCACGGCTGGAGAAGAGTTCTTAACTATGCTTGACAGGTGCTGCGCAGCTCAGGCGAATGGAAGCCACCCCGAAACCTTCCACTACCTCAAATACTGCGGCACTGCTTTTGCCAGGCAATGGGCTTCGCATGACAATTGGGCTGCGCTGACACCGAAAGGCGTAGCACACCAGGCTCCTGTACAAACTTCCACCTCGAAGGCAAGACCGCCAAAACTCTCCTGGAGGCATACCACACTACACAATGATACACCCCCTGCAGCCCTCCGCCCATGCTTTGTCACTGGACTTATCGCTTTGAGGACAACGTGCGGGAGAGCCAGTCCAGACCCTCGTACAGACCGTCTCCGGTGGTGGCGCAGGCGGACTGGATGAACCATTGACGATGGCGCAGGTTGTGCAGTCCGAGCTTCTCGGTAACTTCGGCCGCAGTCATTGCATTCGGCAGGTCCTGTCAGCAGAATCATGGAGATGAAGAAACTCAAAACCAAGAAGCGCTTCCCTCTCGAATCCGTCCAAACCGCAAAACTAGCGTGCCTGCTTGTTTGCAAAGACCAGGACGACTGCATCGCGCATCTCGTCTTCGTTCAGCATCTTGTTGAGCTCCTCGCGGGCGTCTTCGATGCGATCCCGGTCGTTGCTGTCAACGACGTAGATCAGGCCGTTTGTGCCCTGATAGTAGTGGCGCCACAGAGGGCGAATCTTGTCCTGGCCTCCGACGTCCCACACCGTGAACGACAGGTTCTTGTACCTGGCAAGACATGTGACACCAACACGGACAATGAAAGCAGATCCCAACAGATCGGTGGACATGCTGCTAGAATCTCTCTCCCAAGCTACTCCACAGTCTCCACGTTGAAGCCGATGGTTGGAATCCTCAGGTGCTGGCGGAAGCTAGCAAACAATGATCATTCTGGGTTACTTCGGTTGCCTTGCTGCAAGGCGACAGGACAAACCTCGCCTCAAAACATTCTGGCAAGAGTCGTGGTGACCACTTCGCCCAACTTCAGCTTGTAGAGGATGGTTGTCTTACCGGCCGCATCTAAGCCGACCATCAAAATGCGCATCTCCTGCTTTCCGATCATGCGCTGCCATATCTTCGTGAACGCCAGACCCATGGCTCAGGAGCTCGTCTCGCCCAAAGCGCAGGGGGGGCTGCTCGGAGAGAACTCTGCTGAGCCCGAGTTGTCCGAAGCCAGTCCCAACCCAGCAAACCTGCATTTTGGCTAGAAATCCTCACGGCTGGAGAAGAGTTCTTAACTATGCTTGACAGGTGCTGCGCAGCTCAGGCGAATGGAAGCCACCCCGAAACCTTCCACTACCTCAAATACTGCGGCACTGCTTTTGCCAGGCAATGGGCTTCGCATGACAATTGGGCTGCGCTGACACCGAAAGGCGTAGCACACCAGGCTCCTGTACAAACTTCCACCTCGAAGGCAAGACCGCCAAAACTCTCCTGGAGGCATACCACACTACACAATGATACACCCCCTGCAGCCCTCCGCCCATGCTTTGTCGCTGGACTTATCGCTTTGAGGACAACGTGCGGGAGAGCCAGTCCAGACCCTCGTACAGACCGTCTCCGGTGGTGGCGCAGGCGGACTGGATGAACCATTGACGATGGCGCAGGTTGTGCAGTCCGAGCTTCTCGGTAACTTCGGCCGCAGTCATTGCATTCGGCAGGTCCTGTCAGCAGAATCATGGAGATGAAGAAACTCAAAACCAAGAAGCACTTCCCTCTCGAATCCGTCCAAACCGCAAAACTAGCGCGCCTGCTTGTTTGCAAAGACCAGGACGACTGCATCGCGCATCTCGTCTTCGTTCAGCATCTTGTTGAGCTCCTCGCGGGCGTCTTCGATGCGATCCCGGTCGTTGCTGTCAACGACGTAGATCAGGCCGTTTGTGCCCTGATAGTAGTGGCGCCACAGAGGGCGAATCTTGTCCTGGCCTCCGACGTCCCACACCGTGAACGACAGGTTCTTGTACCTGGCAAGACATGTGACACCAACACGGACAATGAAAGCAGATCCCAACAGATCGGTGGACATGCTGCTAGAATCTCTCTCCCAAGCTACTCCACAGTCTCCACGTTGAAGCCGATGGTTGGAATCCTCAGGTGCTGGCGGAAGCTAGCAAACAATGATCACTCTGGGTTACTTGGGTTGCCTTGCTGCTAGGCGACAGGACAAACCTCGCGAACGTCTCACAGCAACAAAACGTTCTGGCAAGAGTCGTGGTGACCACTTCGCCCAACTTCAGCTTGTAGAGGATGGTTGTCTTACCGGCCGCATCTAAGCCGACCATCAAAATGCGCATCTCCTGTTTTCCGATCAGGCGCTGCCATATCTTCGTGAACGCCAGACCCATGGCTCAGGAGCTCGTCTCGCTCAAAAGCGCGGGTGGGGGGGGGGGGGGGCTGCTCGGAGAGAAATCTGCACTTTACCCGACGGACATCTGAGCTGACACTTATGTGAACAGGGCTCTTCGCATGCATTGAACATCATAGATCCCCTTACAGACCGATCCCCAGATAGGCTCTCACATGGAACAACCCTCAAGTCCGTCGACAGCCCCATTTTTCAGCCAAAATGACCCTTAAACTTAAACCCATGTCCAATCCCTGCAGGTGCCTCGCCCTCTTGTAGGCGCTCATTTCGCATCGGGTCCTACTTTCTTGGGGGCCAATAGCTTAGCTGGCTTGGAGGGCTTAGGGGGCTGGTTTGCTGTGCCAAATTTTTGGGTTATCTGGTTGAGGTTTCGTGGATCGCTCGCAAGAGCCTTTTTTATCGCGGGGAGGGGCGGGGGGGGCGGGGGCGGGGGCGGGCGCCTGACATGTCCTGCGTTTTGCTGACAGAAAAAGGTTGTTCTTGTGGCGAGAAGCATTTCATTCTCAGCTGCTTTGTTACATATTTGCGATACATACATATATATGTATATACATAAATATCTTGCTTGGATTGCAACTTGGGGCGCACTCTGGTTTCCCTTTCGTTTGGAAGTAGCGCACTCATCGTTTCAAAGGTCCACAGACCATTGCTGGGTGGCATTGCTTGTTGCTAACTCCTCCCCTGCACCGCGTGTCAATGAGGCTCTTCATGTGTTGCTCACTGGGTCTCCAAACTCCAGGTGTTTCAGCTGCTCCTGAAAACCCAAAAGACATCATGCGCAAACGCACGCACGCACAGATATATATATATATATATATATATATATAATATGTGCATCTATGTATATGTACATATATATATACACATACATATATGCAGACACTTATAAATTTCCGTATGTATACATATATATATATATATGTAGCATCTAAAAGTTGTCCTGGCTCGTGCTGCCCTCAAAGTCCGTCGCCTCAAGCCGAGATCGACTTGCTTGAGGGAGTATGGCCGAGATCTGTGCTTCGAAATAAGGGGTACCTTTTAAAGAAGGGCTAGATTATTTTGGAGTACATTCGGGGACGCCATTTGGGGGGCGTACATATCAGGAGATGTCGTGAATTGCAAGGGGCGCCTCCATTGTGACGATGACCGGGTGGCCTTTGAAAGTCTTGCCCAGAGCGCCTGCCCACTCTTTGGCCAGCAGAAGACGAGCAAGATGCAAGAACGCAGCAGCATGGTACTAAGCATGATACTGGTACAGCAGCTTCTTTACGTCACCTGTTTAGGTTGGCGAAACCAAGGATTGGCCAGCCACCGACAACTCAAACTTCGGCGAAGCACCTGTGAATGAAGCATCTAACCCCGCAGTGCAGAGCAGGCCTGCCACTTCAAGGGGCGTCTTGTGAGAGACGACCAACCTTAGGGGAAAGCACCAGAAAGAACAAACCTGACACCAGCGACACTGGATCCGATGTCCACATGGCCAGCAGGGCACGCGCTCTGGCTTTTGAGAGCTCGCGTCTCCCGCTTCACAAATAGCGGGGAAGGCTTCCAGCGTCCCTGGAAACCCCCTTAAGGCATCTGCCTACAAAAATGTCCCAGAGACAGCCAGGCGGCGGTGGGGGCGCGACACCCTGGCAAGGCTCTGGCTCCACGGAGGTCTCCTGAGGTTGGAGGCTTCAGGGCTTTTCTAGGCTCAGGGGCCTCGAAGGTCTCAAGCATGCTGAGAAGATCCAGAAAATGTCCCCCGCCACATTCTGAAAGGAAGTTAGCGACCTAAACGTTAAATCAAGCCCAAGCAGCTAGGGTCGCCCAATGGACGTTTGGCTTCTGGGGCAGACGGACCTGCGGGCTTTCGGGGCCAGGTTCTTGGCATGGCAGGCTTGGGAGCCGAGGATTTCGGGCCTATCGGTTTTCAGGCTCAGTATGGTTCACTGGTGAGTACCAAGAAGGCGGATCAAGCCGCATTTGAAAGGCAATTCTTTGCCGGAACCTGGCATTCTGACTTGGCCATAAGTAACCATATCCGCCTGCAGGGACTGAGTACACAGATATCCCAACGCCGGCCTTCGTATTCTTGTTCGAGGCCAGGCTGTAGCACCCTGCTTCAAGCGCCTCCTGGGTACAGGAGCAACCGCAGCGCAGCTTGGAGAACAATGCTATGTACTTACATTCAGATGCAGTGACCGCAGAAGCAATCATCATGATACTCCAATATTGCAAACGCCCAGAGAACCAGAGTGTGCCAGAATCGCTCGAACGATTTTTCTTTACCCAAAGCCATGCCCAGGCCTGTGAGCTCTTGAGAACCAGCTCGTTCAGACCCGGGATGGCCAGCCAGCGCCCCTGACAAGCAGAACGTCTCATCTTGACTTACGAAAACAAGGGGCCCCCGAATACATACCCCTTAATGTCGGAAGCCCCACATGTTGACATGCTGCATACAAATTCAGGAACGCCACTGAGTTTCTGAAATTCCTGAGAGTCCCCTCCTGGCATTGCTTCAATTCGCAGAGAACACCGTTCAAAAAGGCGCTTCACATGTCACTCGTCCAGTACTTGACTTTGGACCCGAGCATGGCGACAAAGCCAGAAATGCCCACCTCTTGACTAAGCTTCTTCTTGTGATGGGCGAAAGCTTCAGCATGCCAGTCCTCGGGGGGCACAGCAGCATCGAAATAAACCTGAAATGATCCTCTGCGGGCGCTGTTGCGGAAGGCGTCATGTGTGCACTTGTAGGACACGTGGGGTCTTTTCACTCAAGGAGAATCAGCCATCAGGCTTTAGCGCTGGAGGGGGGGAGCCTCTCCAACATCTACGCTGAAACTCAAACTAGCAATGGAGGTCTCGAGTCGCACATCGTCGCATGCTGCCACCAAGAATCACCCGGCAGGAGACCGCGCAAAGCCCGCTTTGCCTCTGGGTTTCGCGAGTGCGCCGTGCATGGGCAAACCAACTGCAATCTGCTGCTTCCTGCAATTGCCGTTTCGAAGGTAAACTTGAATGAAAATGAAGACTCGGAAAGATGGCTCGCGGATATGCAAACGGACCACCACCACGACAACGACATCCCTCTACTTTGTCATGGCCATGTCAAGATGGGGGTTACGCCCGGGGTGCCTCAGCCAGCTGCGATTCATCCACACGCAGCCGGCGCCTGGAAATCGAAGACACAAAGCAAGAGGGATCTGGACGAAAAACTTTTGAATTCCTCCGATGTTGGTTTCTGAGTGCCACACACATCCTTCGTCCGGTGATCGACGGGCCGGATTGTCCTCCAATCACTACTGGAAGGCATGCTTGGGGACAAGGATCGCAAGAAATAGCCAGAATCCGTGACCAGCGCCCAATTTGACGCATCCGTTTCGGGTTTGAGGACTCAGGATTGAAGCACTGCAGCACTGCCATGGGCATAAAAAGCAGATCACCCCAGATAGCAGGATGGACACCGTGAAGGCGACCTGCGCGGCTTGCGCCTCCGATTTGTTGCGCAGAGATGCCCAGACAAAGGCACAGGAACCTCCGTCAAAAATGCCCTCCCTTTTCAACCCTTTTGAACCCGGAACCCTCCTTGCCCATCCCTTGGGCGCAAGTTCCAGATCTGCCACGGCCTCCGGGTCCTTATTCTCGGTGGTGGCTGGGCAATTTGCAAGACAGCTGTGTGTGTGTGTGTGCGGGCGAGCGTGCACGTGTGCGCTTGTGCACGCATGTGCGAATTTGCGCGTATACGCGCACGTGTGCGCGTGTACGCGCGCGCGTGTGCTCGTGAGAGCATCTGAGCATGCGAGGGCACGCGCGTGTCCGCGCGCGCCGCGTGCGCGCGCGTGAGCCGCGTGCGCGCGTGTGAGCCGCGCGCGCGCGCGCGCGCGAGAGCAAGTGCGCGCGCGTGCGTCTGCATATGTCTGCGTGTGCGCGTGTGTGTCACACTTCTGCGGGCCCCATGTCAAGCCCAGGCTCGAAAGGCGCCTGGCTTCGCGGAGAGGGAGGGAAGAATGACATCCTCCGGTGCTGTCAGCGCTGTCAATCTGTCAGTCCAGCGAGTCAAGTCCTATCTCACGCACCTCTCTGCCCAGCAGTTTCGTGCAAACTCCCTGGATCCCAAGGCAGATCCGGTCCAGCTTGTGGCTGAGGACCACTGTGACGCCTCAGAAACGATGCTGGGCTTGAACTCGTCGAGGGCATCATCTTCATCTGAGCAGCGGTCCAAACTGCTTTGAACTCTGGGTTCCATAGCCCTAGAAGTAGTAGATCCCTTGTCAAGACCTGCAGCGCCCTGACCCGATGGCACCTACAGCACCATGACCCCATGGCCACTTATGAACACCATCTTTCATCACTCGTGGACCCCATATGCCCGAAAACCCCATGCCGCGCAACCTTCGGTCTCAAGCCGGCCTTGGCCATCCTTGGCGAAAACGCCGTGCCGACCTCCCGCATGGTGCGTGGAGGAGAAAAATTGGGTCGGGCGGGGGTGGTCTTCAGGCAAGGCCTGCCAATGACGGTTAAGGGTTGCGTGACCGCCATGTCTAAGGCTCCAAGCATGTGCTGGTCTTCAAGCAATCCCATGTTTGTAGATTCTGTCCAGCTGTCCATCCAGAGACTGGAATGGTTTTTCCTTCGCTTTGCAACCAACTCTTTGTCAAGCATGGTCAGGTTGCTCATGCTAGCCTTTCTCAGCCTTCCAAGTCTGCCCGGCAAAGGGCCCAACTGCATCGCAGAGGGGAGGAAAATGGTTCGAGAAGGACAACGACCGTCAACTTACCTCCTCAACTTCTCTCGAAACCACCCAAACCTAGAAGCAAACCCAAAACATCTCTGTCTCCACCCCCTGCCATTGCGGCGGCATCCTAACCGTGTTTGGGATTTAATCGCCCACAACTCGGACACGGAGGGTATAAGCTTCATTGAGTAGTACTATCCCTGACTGACATCCGCGTGCCTTTCCTAGGTCTCGACAGGCTCACCTGGTGCTCCATGTGCCACGGCTTACAGATGTGGAGACTGTTTTTGGTCCGGGGGCTCGGCCGCTTGAACATACAGGAGTTGTTCTGAATGGGAGAACCGGGTCCACATGCAAGTGCCTTTCTAGAGTCGTCCTACAAGGGACCTTAGACTAGAAGAGGGCCTTGCACTGCATCATAAGACTCTGCTCAACTGCGATTCTCATCCTTGCTCGACCTCGATATGAAGACCAGACACCGGCTTCCGCAACGTGGGCAACGCCATGTGGCACCGGGGCAGCAAAGAGTGGCAGGATGCACGTGACTAAAATGTTTTTGCCTTCGGGGTTGGGACATGTTACACTGTTGGGCTCAAGGGGTATGGCCCTCAGGCCACTCTAGACTTTCACCATACAAGCTTCTCGCCAAAAACTTCGCTGGTTTCTGCCCTGGATCAGAAGCGACCACCTGCCAGTGCTTGCGATACCCCCGCTTGCCGTGACTCTTGCGGGAAATTACTGAGCGCTGATTGCTTTATAACTACTTTCGTTTGCCCAACTGCAATCGCATCCTTGGGCCAGCTCGCGCAGAACGGCAAAGAGGTTGCGAGCTTGAAGCTCAAGCCAGGAGCCGCCGCTCTGACCAAGCGTGTCCAAGAGGAGCTCAAGCCCTGAAGCAAAACCCCTGTCAAAAAAATCAAAGCAACTCCTGCCCACTTCGTCAGGGATGAACCCACAGATCCGCCACGAAGCCACTTCCCGTCTTCCTTCAAGTTGCCTTGAGGATTCAGATTTTGGGCATCGCGTCCAAACCTCCGGGCTTCCGGAACTTCCCAAAGAACGAGAAATTCTCCGAATAGCACTCTGTGCACCCATACCCGTCACCCTGGGGAAGAAGCCCCCCCGAGGCATCCTGTGCGCCGCAGTGAGACCGGAGACTCCGGCGCCGACCACCACGACATCCTCGAAAATGAGGTTGGGGGAAAAGGAGGGGGGAGGGGCGGGGTTCCCGAACCGCTTCTGGTTGCCGGGGGACCCCTGTTTCGGGAAACGCCCGAATTCATTCTGAATGTCTGAGTTGCCAGCCCCTGCGGGATTTTTGTCGACGTAAACAATCACATTTCGCATTGCGAAGAACATGTATTGACACATGGCTTGGAATAATCGCCCTCCTGACTTCAGTTGTTGCGACATTGTACGCCAAAAATTGAAACTTACAGCATCTGTGAAAAGCGCAAAAGCCTCCTTAATGAATTGGCTCTGGGTCTAACTTGCTTGGGAGTCAAAGAGACTATTCGCATTCACCATCTTGCTTTTCGACGTTCGGGATGCACATGCCTGGTTCTGCACAAAGACAGCTCGCCGCTCGCCATCGCTCTCATATCTTAGCCTTTGCCGCGTGAACTCCCACACCTTCACACCTTCTTGTCAACTCATCCTAAAGCTTGAACCCCTCCACATAGCCACCCCCCAATATTGGCCTTGCAGGCATTCTTGCATACTGTATTGAATTTCATTCCGGTACTAGGGGGGATAAGGTTGACGTGACTGAACCGACCGGCCTGCACAGCGTCGGTGTTGGGCCCCCCTTGGTTCGTTGCCTTTGCGCACGAGCAGCTTGCCGATCCATCCGAGATTTTTTCATGTGCAATCGTGACAGTCCAACACCATGCCATAACCTACAAAGCCTTTCTGGCAGGTAGAACACCTTCTGGTTTTCGTGCCCCATGCCCAGCCTCGCACTCTGCAAGTTTGACAGCACTCCTGCTTTCCCAGAAGACACGCGCCCAACCCCGCCCAACCCCGCCCAACCCCTCCCAAGTAGACACCACGAGTCTCCGGCCGACATCGCCACAAATGCAGGCCGTGTCTCCGCTGGACGCCTTTCGCTCCAGGCTTGCGGGGCTTGTTGTATTATATGCATATACATTTACATATGTGTATATTATACATATACATATACTCTGCTGTATATACACATGTTTTAACATATATATATATATGTATATGTATATATATATGTATGTACATACAGACATACTTATTATCCTATACGTTGGTGCGACGTGTTTTTGCCGTCCCGCGTTCACGCCCAGGTGGCCAGACACCGAGGAAATAAAACATCACACGTTCCCTGGCTGCTGGACGAAATTCGGAGATGCAAACTGAGTGGACTACCTCAAAGAACAGCAGGGAAGGAGGCTCCACATTAAACTGCTGACAAACTGTGACTTGAAATTCGGGCTCACTGGTTGCCAGGGCGTTCATGAAGGCACCTCTTCACCATTGCGCGCGCTGCCACAACGGTTGCAGCCGCTGCGAGCGCCGACGACGCGCCTGTGCATCTCAGGAGTTTGGAGTCTTAGCAGGGTTTGGACCGCATGTCCGAAGAACTCAAGCATAAACATACCACACATGTCATTTTTCACCATGGTTTGGGGAGCTCTCGGCTTTTTAGGCCTTCTGTCGGAGCTTAGACCAGGAAGCTCCAGTTACAGAAGGCTTCCTCATGGTGGGAGTTTAGGATGCCGCTCACGCACAGCTTACCCCATTTTGCGCCCACCTTAGACCTTTCCTCTACGTGTTTATCCTGTATACTGTATACGATGTGGTGACCACTTGCCTCTTGACTTCGTACACCCAACAGCAGCTCTTTTGCGTCATGCAAGATTCGGCACCACTTCCCTCGAAATGGTTCTGAATGCCATGCTCTCCACTTACATCTCCTTCTCAGACGCCCTGCTCTGTCCGCAGACCAAGAAGCGCTCCCTGAACCTTCGTCTTATGGAGGCTCATGGATATGGATAAGTAGGGTTGCAAGTGTGGTAACTATGTAGTCATAACCTTTTTTAGGGTACATATTGCAACCCTGAACCTCCAAAGTAAACCCTTGGGAAACGGGCCTTGCTGCGGAACGCGCGTGGCCCGCTCGGGCTTTGAGGCGAGCCTGTGCTGCGGGAACACTTCCCTAGCAACTCCAAATACTCGAGACACTGCCCCGAACCCGTGCAAGCCTTTGATTGCGGTTTACGTTGCGTGCCCTCCAAACAAGAGTCTGGTTGCTTCCTGCCAATTCCCGGCTTTCACTTCCGAATCTGTCAAAGAACCCTGAAGGTCCGGCCAAGCCTAGCACATTTCGGTGTTGAATGTGCTGGACCTAGTTATCTAGTTGCGAGGCTGGGACAGGCCACACGAGGGAGACCCAACACTGCTGACAAAGCCCGTTCACGCTCGTCCACTCCAGAAGACCTAGCCTCGGCCCTGAAGCAAGCCGCCCGACAATGCCCGACACAGTTCCCGTCTTGTTTCCAACTCTCACGCTGAAGCTTTTCAGTGTTGTGCTTGCACCCCACGACTCATGAGACTCAGTCACTACTCACTCGCACTCAAGAATGCTGTTTTGGGGCTTCAACTCCGACACTCACACTCGGGAGGCAAGGCCCTTTGCCCGCCGGTCTCAAATGAACACAACCAACTAAGTTACAAGTCGCGCCAGCTCTGTATCTGCCGGCTGCAGAGCCCTGGCGATGATGGCACCGCCTCCAGTGACATTGTGTCCAAGGACCAGAAACCCCAAGTTGGAGTCCTTGCACATGGCAATCGGCCGAAAGCCCGAGGCATCCGAAAAGCTCGTCCTCCAAAGGCCCAAACTGCGAGACGTCAGCAGGTCCCAGGCCTCCAATTCTCCTGTGGAAAGAAGTGCCCAAAGCACCCCACGTTGCTCCATGTGCAAGGCTACAACCGCCTTGGACGGATCCTGTAGCGGAGCATCCAGGGCTGGTTGCAACTTGGTAGGCTCAGGCACGCCAAGCTTATCGGGCAGCGGAACAGCAGCAACGGGAATCAGGCGGCCGTCCCACCCGGCGAGCAGCAAGCACCAGTCAGCCACGGCATCCTCCGGCAGCAAAGCGGCCACCTGGCTACAGCTTGTGATGCCCCCGGCCACTCGCAACCATGGCGTATGATCTGCAAGTGTCAAAGCAACTCGAGGATGGCCTAGATGCCACACCTCGATGCGGTCCTCTGCTGGCGCCAAGAGAAGGCAGCGGGCAAAGTCGCTGGCGCAGGCAGCACTCAGTAAAGGCAGCCGACCACGCCAGACCTCGTCTAAGCGCATTCGCGTGGCTCCGTCGTCTTGGACCCCAGCATACACCGCAAAGGGGCTCGCCACGTGAAACAGCCCGGAAGGGCACAGGAGGCCCTGAGGTCGGAAGAAGATCCCATGAGGCCAATCAACCTCTAGGTGGTTGAAACTCCATGTATTTGCCTCGCATAACCGCCGCTCGTGAGCTGGATGCTGCTGGAAGTCCACTTGATATACGTGAACCTCTTTCAGGAACGCCATGAGGCCAGACCACAGCCAACACAGTTGCAACACGCGTGTGATGTTGCGGAGCACCTGCCACGGAAGCTTCTCCGGCACAAAGTGCTGGGCATTGGCACCGGCCATGGCCACAAGCGTAGGGTCTCGGCCTGCGTGGCCTGGTTCCCGCAGCTCACGATCCACTGTACTGCCTGCAGAGTCCGTCACCTCATCGTGTGACGAGGAGTCAGGACGGAGTAGCTCTATGTTGGCATCTCGATCCTCTCCCCGACGCTGGTGCAGGCGGGTCTTGAAAAGCGCAACCAAGTTCGGAAACTGTCCTCTCGTCGCTCTGCCACTATCTGCAGCAGGCTGCGCTGCCGCGGTTGGAGATAGACTGCGGTGCAGGGGGCGCTTGGATTTCTTTGCCAGCTCACTCTGCAGGCGGCGGCGCTGCATCGTGACCCTCAAATCTGACATGATCCTCAGCTCCAACAAGCTGCGAGCTGCTTCCTCCAGATCCTTCATGGTGGCACGGACAGCTTCGAGGGAGAGGACCAATGCACCAGGACACTCCCGCGCCGCGTCTTCAAAGAGAGTTCGCCGCGACTCGATTTCAAAATGGTAGCAGGACGTCCGGTACCCATCATCGTGCTCGAAGGGCCCAACGAGACAGCCAGCAAAAGGATCTGCAGCTTGCTCTTCGGCAGAGAGCTCGGACCATGGGCGGAGCTCCCGTTCCAGGTTGCGGAGTGCTTCGGGGATCCCACGCAAGCGACAACACCGCTCCAGCTCTGTGTAGATGGTGCTGCCCCAGTTTTTCAACTGATCCTGCACGGCCTCAAGGTCCTTGGACTGCTGTGTCGACAACGCCCACGAGGGTGTGGCGTTCCAGCGCCGGGCAGCGCACTGGGCCATGGTCAGCTTCGAGGCGGCCCTTTGGGCCGCAGCCAGTAACGCCTCTTCGGCCTCCTCGTCGGCGTCTTTCTCCTCTTTGACCCCCAACTGCTTGAACATCTCACCCTCGATGATATCGTCCTCGCAGTTGTTATCACCATCCTTCGGGTCCCAGCCTGAGGAATCCCCGAAAACATCCAGAAACAGCACCTGCCGAAACCGCCGGGGAAGCTTAGCCTGGTCGTCGCCGTGCGGAGCTGCAACGCGGAGCCAGAGCTCCAACCAGAGCACCTGAAAACTGTTCTCCCCTTCGGGTATGTTAGGGGTTCCTTAGGGGTCCGTCAGGGGTTCCGTTAGGGGCACTTTTCGAGAACGGGACCCCATACCATACTCTACTTAGACCCTCCCACCTGGCAAAGAAAGCTCAGGGGCGACAACATGTATGTCTGCGCGGGGTCTAGCACACCGTTCTCGAGACGGTGGCCATGCGCGACACCCCAGGCTGTAAGCAGGCAGGGCATGATACCCACCACCTGCACCGCAAGGATCTCCCGCCTTCGCAATCCGGCCAAATCTAACACCGCCAGTGCGATGGTCGTGCTCTGGAAAAGGGTTACCAGTGCATAGCCAGTTGTCGGCGAACGATTCTCCACCAGCGTGTGACAGATGCAATAGTAGCTAAGGCCTTGGAGAATCTGATTGACCCCCAAACCCATGCACACCCTGCAGTAGGCGTCGTAGCACTGCCACTTGGACTGCAGCTGTCGAAAGAGCTGCACATGCCGCTCTGGCTGCGCCCCTCGTGAGCACGAGAGCAGATCCTCCCCACCAACCACCGTCTCTTCCCGCTCCGGCAATAGGTTCTGATTCGAGGTCAGGCTTGGATGTGAGGAGCCCGAGGCAGCTGCCTCACTGGGCTTTCCTAAGGTTGTTGGCCCTGGAGCTTCCTCGTGGCGTCTGGGAGGCACCCGGAGACCCTCTCTAAGGTCCTTTGTGTCTTTTGTGTCTTTTGTGTCCTTTCTGTCCTTTGTGTCCTTTGTGTCCTTTGTGTCTTTGCTTCTCAAACCTTTCGCTTGGGCATCTGCCTCCGGAGGGGTCGGAGTCGGGACACCTCCTTGTGCCTCGCCATGCACCTGTTGCCACTCCTGCTGGTCCTGGAAAGGCAGGCGGAGCAGATTGGCGACACCTTGCCGCTCGTAGTCCTTCAAGTTGCTCCTGAGACCAGTAATCTGCTTCATGCTGGGAATGGGCAGGCGCACAAAGCGCGTGAGCAGGCGCACACCAAAGCTGTGGGAGGCGATGGAGGCATGCATGCTGAGCCACACTGCCAGCAGCAAGTAGATGAAGGCACAGGCATTGGACAAGAGGAACAGTGACAGCAAGAATGGGGGAGCTGAAGCCTGCACCCGGCCCTCGCAAAAGAGCACGATGCAAAACTCCAAGAACAAGGCACCCACGAGATGGTAAACATCCATGCGGTCCACCGTCAGCTCCACTAAGTCACGCACATCCTCACGAAAGAGCTCGAAGCGCTTGACCTGCATCTCCAACCGGAGTGACTCACGCTCGATCCTCTGATCTTGGTCAAACTTGAAGTTCTCGCGGTTGTATGTAAAGAGCTCCTTGGCCCCTAGGCCCGCCGCCATTAGCAGCTCCATGGCGAGCAGTGTCTGCGGCAACGATGCCGTGCTCTGCAACTACACGACCCGCCCGCTGCGATGTGGTGTCATGAGGGGTGGTGGGGATTTGGGCTGATTTGGGGGGCTTGCATGGTCAACTGACGCCTCCTGCGGGCGTGTGGGGCTTGCAAGGGGGGCGGGGGGGGGGGGGGGGGGGGTTGTTTAGATCGGGTCCTTGAGCCATAGACAGCATGGACAGCTTCACCAGGCAATTGCAGCCGCACGCAGCGGCCGCCAAGGCAACAGCCGAGGTCACAGTGCAGGGCAATCGAGAACATGCCCCCCAACGACCGTGGGAACACTCGGAGCTCGCCTGGCCAGCGGCAGCGGCAACGCAGGCGAGGCCACCCCGAGGACGAAGGCCTTGCCAACAGAGCACCGACAAGAGCGACAAGATCTTGCCACTCACAAGACACCCAATTCCCAAACCTCAAAAGAAAGAAAAGCCCTAGATCCTAAATCTGATAGCCGGACTCGCCTGACATTTGGCACATGCGTCCTCAAGCTCAGAGGTTCAGGCTCAGCAGCACAACTGGGGCTTGATGTGTGCAGAACTTCGACCCCAAAGCTTTCGGAGTCGAGCGCTGGGGCTGCAAGCCCAAACAGAAGGCATGGCCTCTGCCCGAAAAAATCTGGGCAGCAATCGCTGGATAAGTCCCGGACATTAGTTGACCCTAAAAGGCATCATCAATCCAAGCCCGACATAAGCTGCTTAGGCTAGGCCAGCTAGGCCCTTCCAATGCCTCCGGCAGGAATGCCATGGCTGCCGCACCGAGAATTTCCTCGCAGCCTGTTTGCTTAACCTCCCCGAGCTGGTGGGAGACTCTTGTGATGCCTGGCAAATTCATTCAAGCATTTTTTCAGAGAGACCATAAGTAAATTCTAAGCCTCGCCAACACGTGTCTGCATGAGTGTTGCCTTTGCTGCCTGCCTGTCGGACATCTGATGACATCTGATATCGTGCCCCAAACGAGCCAAAACTGGACCCGGCACAGTTCCTGCTCAAGCATACCACACTCAGTCACGCTGCACCCTTCAGCTTTCATGACTCACACGGCCCAGACTCATCCCAGAGCTGCAACCCAAAATCTACACGAAGAAGTTCAGGAGTCGGCCTACCCAACGAAAGCCCAAACCCAAAGCTTAGGGCCTTAGGGATCTCTTGTTCCTGAGACGCGCTGCAGGGGTGAGACGAGCAGCTGCGGCTTCTTCGAAGCTGGAGCTGCAAACCGTGGAGATCCATGACCATTCAGGCGTCCTTGTCCGCTGATGTCCCGAGCCACCATCCCCATCTCAACAACTGCAACCCCACCCTACGCGTAACATGTAGGGAAGTATACGCGTGAACCTTAGACTCAAAGACATACTTGTGCCGGCACCCTCAACCTCGACGTCGCTCCTCAGACGGCAGCTTCCTCCTGCGCCTCTGCAACCTCGCGAATGTGGAAGTCTGCCAGCTTGTGCTTGCCTGGGCAATGAGGGTTTAGGGCTGAAGGTTCGAGCTTTGAGGCCCTTACAACCGGCGTGGTTCTTCGGGAATGCTGTGCCAAGTAGCATGGCAGAAGCGCGCATGCTTAGGGTTCAGGGGGGTGCCCGTGGAGCCAGGAGCATCCAGCCCGGCCACGGGGTCTATAGCAGCCAGGCAACAATGGAAGTACAGTATCGGGGCATCCACCAGCCGTGCCTCTTGCAGGTGTCCACCTTGGCCGGGGGTCTTGGCGATTGATGAGCTTGGGGGTCGGAGGTTTGGGGTCTGTTTTGTATTGTGAAGGGCCACGTTTTTGGATTCGACAAGGAGCGCATAAGCCTGCCGGTTGTGGAGCAGTTCTTTACTTCGACGTTGGAACCTGATACCGACAGTTTAGGGCTGAGAGGGTTGCTTTAGGGCTGTTCTTTTTTTGTGCCAAGCACTGACGAGCTGCAAGGCGAGCAACAGCAGCAGCAACAGCAATGCATCAAGAAGTCGCGGTGCGGCTCCAAATGAATCTTGAAGGCCTGGCGTATACCTCGGGAACATCGGACAGTGGCAGCTATAGGGCCCAGATGGGCCCAGTTTATAGGGGCTGACCCAAACTTGCTTGTCCGATCCAGCAGTATGCGCAAAGGACAGGGCTGACGATGGCCTGATGGAATGCCGAGGCGCGATATCTGCCGTAGAAGTTCAGGCAGGGCCAACACCAGGGGCAAAGGATGTAGGCAGCCAGGACCTCGTTGGGGGCTTCGGCTTTTGTCAGCTTGACTTTCTGGACGCAGTGCCTCGGAGGCCTTTGGAGTTTCAGGGCTTCTCAAGCCTTGTGGCGGCGGCTCTTCAAGAGGACTCCCTGAGCCCCAAGAGAGCTCGCCGAGGGCTCACCCACATGCTTTCAGAAAGTGGTGCGTGCACAATACATACAGACAGACATGCATACCTACGGTCATCCATTCATTCATTAATTCATTTCTTTCTTTCACCTAATTTCATCTCATTTCAGTTTAGTCCATGTCATGTCATTTCATTTCTATTGCCGTTTCATTCCATTTCATTCCATTTCATTCTTTCATTCCATTCCACCGGTTTCATTCATCTCATTCTTCATTCTTCATTCTTCATTTTTCATATTTCATTTTTCATTGTCCACTGCTCATTTTTCATTTCTCATTTCATTCATTCATACGTACATACATACATACATACACACACACACACAGACACACACAGACACACACAGACACACACAGACACACACAGAGACACACACACACACAGACACACACAGAGACACACACACACACACACACACAGACACACACAGACACACACAGACACACACACACACACACACACACACACACACACACACACACACACACACACACGCGCATACACACGCATACACACACAAACATACATCAGCCCAGACATATGTATGTATGTAGGTAGGTACGTATACATATACATGTACATATACATATAATATACAGATACACATACAGATACATACGCATACACATATGCATGATGTGTCTTAACTGTGTCTGTGTGAATGCATGCATGCACGTAGCATGTACTTGTTTCTGTACGTGTACATACACGTCTACATATACAGATGCACATACACATGTGGAGGCAAATGCACATACATAGCCAGATACCTATACACGTGCAAGTGTATATATATATATACACATTTCTTTTTCTCTATTCATGTAATTATTTATTTCTTTATTTACATTTATAAGCTGAAAGCTGCCAAGCTCCCAGGCAGGCCTTCCAGTAGGTCTGCCACTCCGGCACGCCCAAAGTGTGCCAGGTGTCCGCCTCCGAAGCTGTCCCGCACGCTAAGCCCAAAAGACCCTTTCGTTGTATTCCAGTGCCCACGACTCGAATCACCGATTTTTGTTTTTGCATCTGGGCTGTCTACCTAAGCTCCCGGTCTCAGTCGAAAGAGAGCATGAGTGATTCATACAGATCTTGGTCTTGGATGCTCTTGCTAAAGTAGCCAGTCAGCTAAGTTAATCTGGCTCCAAGTATGCGCAAGCGTCTAGACACATGCTTTTGGTTTCGCCACCTGCCGGCAAAGCGGGCACAGAAGGTAGGCCAGACATAGGTCCTGCCGGGGTCCACTCGAAATTCCGCGTGTTGGAAAAAGCCACTGCCATTCGGCCAGGCACCACTCGGCTATAAGATTGCTGAGGCGTAAGCTTTTGGGGTTTGAGGAATGAGGGTTGGCGGATGACAACCCAGACACAATCCGGCGTGGGCTTCAGAAACGAAGCAGTGCCACAAAGTCAATGCCAAACTGCATCAGCCTTCGCAAGAACCTGAAAGTATCATTGTGGACATGAACAAAACTGAGAGGCACATTCAAGGAGAAGACTTACTATTGCAAGTTGACTGCAGCGATTTTGTCGCAGTCCGGATCTTCACAGGGCGAGCAAGCGCCATCCACGCCCTGCCAGAGAAACGAAGCTAAAGAAGTCACATCCACTGTTTAAACGGGTGCCTGTGCGAGGCAGGCGTCAAGATAACGATTTTGTGAATGCTTCCAGCAGCCTATGGTCGATCCTTGACAGCGTCTTGCCACCCGCCCAGCTAACTGATCTTAGAATTCGGTAGGCTGTTTTTGCCACGCGCCTAGCCACGGCACGGCGGTGCCAGCTTCGGAAGAAACAAAAAAAACCATACACAACCTGGAAACATGTTTCACGCGTCTTGAAAGGGTTTTGCAGGCTTCCCTCGGTCCTGGGCTTGAGAATCTACGGCAGGCGTCACCCAGTACCCAAACAAGTCAAGCAGCAGCAAAGGACGAGGGAACGAAGCACCAAGGAACCGCAGGGACCGCTCAGTTTCTAGACGAAAGACACCCCCAAACCTACAAGTGCAAACGCACCTTAAACCACTCTGGGCACCTGCCTCGCTTTGTCTGCGCACGTCGACTTGAAATGGGCTACATGTGTTTGCGGCATCCTTCATTTGTTACAGATTCTACTTCCCCTTCCGTTCCTTCCGAACTTCTGTTCCTAACTGAGCTCACGTATTCCTAACCACGGCACAGGTGCTTCTCGTACGAAAATAGCGAGAGGATGCACGTCGCATGCAGACGGGAACGAATCAGAAATCATGCTACTGGTCCAGATGACACACCACGCCTCACGTCCAATCAAAACATGCGCAGGTTCAGGATTCAGGACGCTGCCATCAACCACGAGCGTCGACGGGAATGCACCCGTGGCCTTCACCAGTTTCTGGTGGCGACTACGGAAATCAGCCGCATCATGCCCCAGCACAAAAGTCGGAAGATGCTCTGGCAGCACTGAGCTTCAAACCCGGAACTTTGCAGGGTTATCCGTCTTGACCCGAAGGCAATATGAACGCCGGATCACATAGCGCTGCTGCATACGGTGTCTATTCGGCACCAACTCGAAAGCCCAGGGCGCAGATGTGCTGAAGTCTTTGTTGGTGCTACGCCAACACATGTACGCACATTGGGGCTTGGGGTGTCTGACGCAGGCGGAGTTGCTACTTTCAGTGTGAGAGCAGCAAAGGTTTGCACAATAACGGCCGCCCTCCATCCATAATACTTCGCTAACTTTGCCACGGGCGCTCATCCTATTCCACGAAATGGACACCCAATTTCGGCCAAGGTCGCAAACAGGCAGGGCCCACCTGCTTCTGACTGTTCGGCCTACTACGCCGTTTCGAGGCACCTGTCCACGGCAGCTTCGATCGAAGTTTTTCAGCCATGAGCATCGACCTACAACACTGCAGGTGCCAGGCATGCATGCAGGTTCTGTGTGCTGGTGACGCAAGTGGCCCTGATATCAGATGCAGCGCCCACGGCTTACCTCATGACACTGTCATAAAAAGTAGATTCCGGTCAAGCATCGTTCACGGCCATTTGGGCTTACGATTCACTGGCAACGGGCCTATAGCCCATAGAACAGCGCTACTCTCACGCAGGCTAAGTCTTAAAACGAGACCGCCTGTGGCCGCTAAGTCATGGCACGACTGTGGCCTCCTGACATCGTCTGTGGCGTCGGTGCTCTTCGGCGGTCGAGGCCCTCAGCGCTGCTCGGAGAGTCAGAAGCACTTAAGCCGTTCCCTTAGCCCTGAGGTTGTCACAAGTCTTCCCCATTCTCACGCAAGTACAAGGCTCGTACAATGCTAGTACAAGGCTAGTACAAGGCTACGGAGAGTTTCGTAGCGCATGCTGTGGACAACAGAGAGCGCCCACACGCTAGGCAGGCACACAGTGAGTGCTTGTCATGCTGTCCTCAGCTAGGGTTACTGTTTGGAGTTTAGGCTCACCACCATCATAAGTGACGAGATCAAGCTGCGCCATGTCAGCCCGTCAGTTGCAGGCAACGTCGAGCCAACTCGTCACAGCCCCAAGTGTACACAAGACCCACGACTCAATCCAAGAAGCTAGACTCCTAGACAACATCGCAGCACAGCCGGAACTGACTCAGAATAAGGCAGAAAGTAGAGTGAAAGCAGTCTCTCGCACATCTTTCAAGATGCAAGATCCCCAGAGGCTCAGGCTTGATTCGTCCCTGAAGCGCCTCGCGCTTGGGAGGGGAAACCTTTGCCATGACATTGCCTTACATTACATTGACTGTAGGCACAAGTAACAGTAGCAGTAACGCGAACACCTGCCCGCCCACCTGCCGGCAAAAAAAACACCAAAAAAAAAAAAAAAACATTGCAGCGCATATATCTCATCCATTACACTGCTTTCTCTCTCTCATTAGGTGACTTCTCTATCTCCAGTTCAGCTGTTTACTGAGGCTTTTCGTTTCAGCCCATCCCGTTTTGGGCTTCCGAGCTTTTGAGGGTTCGCGGCTGTTCAAGTATAAGAGCCTCTTAGGCTTACGGTTGTGGCACCTGACAATACCACATCCCACCATTTGGCCCTTGAAGACAGCCACGGAGCTGTGAATGCAGTGTGTGCTTTCACGCCAGTACCTTCATGACATGTGCCCGTTCACACAATACGACCCTGGCAGGAATGCTTTTTCGGGTGGCGTTTAGCTCCACCTGCTCGACGCCTCTTTTCAAGAAGAAAGATGGATAAGCCTGTCTCTGTGCTTTCACAGCTTTTGTGGTGGCCACGTGCCGGCGCTTGCACACTCTTCAGCTTGTGACCCCCAATCCTGCTGCCGGACTCGGTGTTGTTTCTTGCTTTACAGCGCGTACTCCAGCAAGACAATGCACAATGCACGGCCCACGAAAAGATTTTAAAATGATCCAAACTGACGTCATGAGGGGACGCATCGATACGTGCTACAAGCCAATCATGCCTGCCAGTTGTATTCCGCCCCCCCCCCCCCGTCTAGTTGAGGTCCAGCGAAAGACACTCCTTCGCAGTTGTTGGACAGATATTTGCTGTTGGTGCAGATGTTTTGCCGTTGTCATCTGTCAGAGCCTGCACGACATAAACCTTGTCTAACAAGACAACTCCAAAAGGAAGAAGGCCCCGTGACTCGAGATGGTCGTGTCCGCATGTGCCCGTGCGAGACCCTCTGCAAGAGCGCCTGCTGGTGGTGGAGCCAACAACTTGGCAGCCTCTGCAGCGCTGCCAGCTTAAGGGCTGTTTTTGAAGGGAGCACTCGGAGAGGCATGGTTCACAACGAAACTCTGAGTGAGTTGAGAAAGTTGTCACAAGCACGTGGCAGGGAAGAGTAACGAAACACTAACGAAACACATCGAAATACTCAGCAAATCAGGTGGCCACCGCGCGGCCTCTAGAATGCCCAAAGCTGGCCTTGGGGGCCCACCACCACCACGACCAACACCACCACCACCACCACCACCACTAGCACTGCCCCGACTGACTGCCACGCCTTCTCCTTGCTGTTGGCCTTCTGCTCGGCGATCATCAGCCTGGGCTCATGATGTTGCGGTACGGATTCACAGTGCTGCGCTGGGCTGCCTCGTGGCGCTTGGGTTGTTGTCTTCGAGGGCATTTCGGGTTCAGGGTAGCGACCTTGCAAAGGCGAAGCCTGCTTGCAGATACTTGGCCCGATGCTCCCAAGAAGTCATGCCCTTGGACTCCAACCACCGGCCTCCACAAGCCAATCGCGTGCGAGGAACAGAGCTGCTGCAAGTATCTCACGCCTGTGCACCCTTTTTGGGCCACTGTCCCAAGAGGTGAATCTTCCTGATTGTGGCATTACTATTACAATATCCCAGAGAATAGGATGACGACCCAAAGACCCCGTCATGTTGTCCAAAAGGTGAAGAGAACAATCGTAATAATATTACACGGGACTTCACAGACGCGCGAATATTATTAATAGTGTGAACGAAGCATAACCAGCATTAATATGATGCCCCCGGGCAAATAGTATTCTCTCAATATCAGCCCGGATTTCCAGAGAAGAGAGTACGAACGGAATTAAGTTAACGCATTTGTAAACGAAATACTGAGTGCACAAAATGCATTAACTTAATGAACGAAACGTGCCCCGTTCGCACAACTCATGCATGCGCCTTGAAAGCTCTTTGGCAGGTCCCCGACGTCGTAGGTGAGGCGGGCCTGGCGCACTGGCGCACAGCCGAAATCTTGACACGTGCAGGGGCTGTGCGTGCGGATGACTGCTGTATTCAGCATTCTTCGCCTCGCAGTCTTGATCCCACACACATGCGGGGGTTGGCAGCAACGAGCGCAAAACAAGTCCTGAAGCCCAAGAAGAGCCAGCAGCGCCTTGCCGACCATGCACACGCCTAAGCTGGTTCTGCAAAACCATGGCCCAAAATGGTCCATAGCAGTTCTCGGCGAATTGCTCGGCTGCAAATCGCAGGACATCGGTCAGCTTCTGGTTGCAGCACAGCAGCAGCTGTAGATGCACCCGAGCCCCAGCACTGCGAGCGCAACGAGGATGTAGATGGAAAACTGCGTGTACCTTATGGGCACATTTGGGCCAAGGACAAGCAAGAAGCCCGAACTTCAATCCACACACGCTGTCTCCTGGCAAACTAGACGCTGCTGCACATCAACGCATGTTGGGGCAGTCCCCTGCAGCGTCCCGTCGCCTGCATTCATGACTTGCACGGCATACAGATACAGTATGGTCAAAAGGGGAGCTTGCCGGAGGACTTTACGTCCGAACAGGGCACGAGAGTGTTCTGAGAGAGAGCTGACTCTTCCAGCTGTTGCTGTCGGATGTTCTGCGCCTTGGCAGACAAACTCGGAGTCACCGCCCACGAAGCCTCTGACATCGTCTTACAAGGAGTGTCAGGGCAGGAAACATTGAGTGTGTTGAGTGCCTGGAAAGGAAAAAACATGGCTGGGTAACAACCTTTTTGTGGTTGGAGCAGGGCCTGCATGAGGGGATGACATGGGGTAACTGCTGGCTTGAGTCGCTTTCTTGCTTTACAGTAGACCTTCCAGAAAGTTGGAACATGGTTTCAGCATGATTAGAGCTGGGATTCCCTTGAGCATACCGCAACAGGGGACAACTGCTCCAATTTCTTATTTTTTGGAATTTACTGCTTTCTTTCTACACCTCAGACTGCCACGGAAGAGCCCCACACCCGGACACCGACATGCACCAACTGTTGAACCTCCAGCCTTGGCCCTCCAAACCCAACCCTGCACAAACCCTAGGGTTTACGGCTTAGGGTTTCGGGTTTAGGGTTTAGGGTTAGCCGCCAAAGTCCCCTGGCCGAGCCTGGTGCGCAGCTGGCCTTGCAAGTGGCACCTTCCTGGCAAAAGCTGAGCACGGCAGGATTGTGGCGCGTTGGTGCGCTGTGGGGGATTTTGGGGCACATGCAAGGGAACCCTCTGCTACCGCGAAACTCGTACATCAAGCTTCCATGTTGGCTGCACGCACACCCTAATTCTTCGCGCCCCCAAAAACCCTCAAATCCCTCCAATCCCCTTTTTCCCCAAACCCCACCGCCGGATTGAAGCGGGACGGGCACCTTGAGACCGACCACCGGTGCGCCTGCACAATCGTGCTGGATGCCAGCACCTTGAGGCACGCGACGGCACGTTGCAACGCGGGTTGGTATAATTTGGCTGAAGTTCCGAAGGTAAAGGATCAAGCAAAGAAGCCGAAGGTTTGTGGGAGACATCGGAGCTTCAAGTTCAGGCATAGCATGCGCTTCACGATTCGACGGCTAGGCAGGCTGGCTTTGTCAAAACTTCGGGTGCGCTCTGCAATTGTTTTTTGCGCAGGCATGCTGCAGATATCTGTTCTGCGCTGATCTGGGGTGGGATATCGTGTCATGCTCTACCGCGCGAGGTGGTGGATGGAACGAAACATATCACGTTCCTGGCTACCTGCAGCTGCGCTGCCTACATCCAGCCCACCAGTGCAGGAGCTGGGCACCACCTTGACACGATCAGGGGCCGTTAACAAGCATCGAGTTTTAGACCAGGAAATCTTCCGGGGTGTTGTGGAATAGCTTCAGGTCCGTAGGGCTTGGGATGGTTGACATGGATCAGCCTGCAGCCAAGGGGCCAGGTTGTGGCCTATCAGCCTCCCCTCACTCGGCACATCCCAGGTGTGGGCGAGCTGCCAGCCTGTAAGCCAGACAAGCCACGCCGAAACAGCCATCGCCCACTCCGGAAGAAGCAAAAAGGGATGTCGCACAAAAGCTACGGCACACTATACTCTATGCTCAGCTTGATGTGCACAAGGTTCACCTTGGTCATCGTGGGTTCATACCACCAAACACAGCCAATCTCTTCTTGGAACCACAATCGAAATACTGGCGGCCGGCCTTGGCCATCCCAAACCTCAAGATGTATGCGGAGAGCCCTGCAGCAGGACACCTTGCGCCAACAATCGGCATTGAGAGGCTTCCTTACATCTGTCTGCTTGCAAGCGCGCTCCTATAGGCACAAGACATTGGCCCGTTGGCAGCTTTCTGGAACAAGTCTCACTGGCACCCCCAGATTGCAAAACGTCCATCGTGAAGTGACACCACACGACCAGCGCACTCGCGCGCTCGTGCGTGTGCCCGCATGCGCACGAGTGCGCGCACACACACACGCACACGAATCTCAATCTCAACAGCTCTTCACCGGCAGCTCTCGTATCGACGCTTTCCTCTCCAGGCTTGCACAGCCTGCGCCCCTTTTGACCTTCGAAACTCTACTTGGCTCGACCCAACAGAGCCCAAACGCCTAGAACAAACTCGTTCAAGATGCCGCTCGAATAAGGATGGGCTGCAAGTCATGCCCTGGCCTCCCCTATACCGGGCCTGGCTTTGCTGCAAGGACACGCAGCGCAGCGTGCGCGGCTCGGGGAGGGCCAGGGCCAGCCATGCCTTTGGTTGCCGGCCGAAGGGCTTCAAGTTTTGTTCAGGCGTTTCCAGGCTGAGGGAAGTTGCCTTCCATCAACAAAGAACCCTTTTGAGCCTGCAGCATCGTGACTGTAAGCCGGGCCCAGAGATGGCTGAAGCCCAGCCTACAGTGTGCCTTTGGCACTGACACACGCGCAAACACAGCAAGGCCACGTTGGACCCGCGAGATGTTCTTCCTTGGGCACCCTTGGGCTGTCTCAACCATTTCGGGAGATTCGAAGAAAAGCACGCGGCGAGTTGAACAGTTGGGCTCCGGTACAGGGCCTGGCTTCCATAGCTTGGCCCGGCTCCGGTGCTTAGCTCTTTGGTGTAGTTTGGTCCGCCGCATTCCGCCAGCTTGTAGCACTTGCACTCGTGTAAGACCATGACCAGCAGTCCGTGATATTTGTGTGGTCTTAGCCACTGTGCTCACTGCGCCACCTCTCCTCCAGGGCAGGACCATGTTCAAGCACGCGCGACGAGACAACACCTTGTCCAACAAACGCAACTATGTCGCTGCGTCCTCGTTCAACATGTGGGCGTCGAACTCTTCACTCCAGTGCGAGCGCGGGGGGTTGCTTGCGGCAGTGTGGCCTCGGGCTACATCACATGATAAAACATCCCAAAATCAAGCCTTGTGACAAGTGGAATCAAGATGCCGTTGTTAGCCACACTGACTGGCTGCGAGCATTTGCCAAACGACGATGAGTATGTGCATGCCTTTTCCTAAACGTATGGCTGGATCCATAAGTGGGCTACTGCTAGTCACATAAAGGAAATACGCAACTGCTAGTCGCCTGTACTCATGCCGGCGGCATTTTAAAAACAACACCTTGCACCCGCCCCTCGCCCACCAGTACATTTATTTCCAAGCCACGCAAAGATGGACCTGATACAAGCAATTAGGCCTCATTCCCTAGCGGCCCTAGCTGAAGCATGAAGACACAATGGACCACACACACACACACAGACGAAGAGACACAAGACGAGAGACACGAGAGAGACACGAGAGAGACACGAGAGACACGAGAGAGACACAAGAGACACAAGAGACACAGAGTCACACAGACAGAGACAGAGAGAGAGAGAGTGACGAACAGACAGAGGGAGCCCCCGGAGTCTAGAGGGCCTCGTCAAGGAGGAGCGCCGTCGTCGATGGCAGGGTGGCTGGTTCGCCTTGGACTTTGTGGCATCTCTGAGTGTTGCTTGTTGCCCGCAGAGCTACATGTACAGCCATGTACAGCCTTTGGGCCATTTGCAAACTTTGAACAGGAAGACTCTCAGAAGACTCTTGCCGAGACCCGCTTGGGCATTGAGACTCTGGCCAAGCCACCCCTAGAGACTTGGCCGTAAATACCGTGTACCGCAGATCCTGAACTGTAGGAGCCCTGAACTTGAGACTTCAAAACTTGCAATGGAATCCCCCACAACCATTCCTTCTCTCGGTCCAGGAGCTCGCGGAGGGCCTCTCCTTCTTCCTCAGGCGGATCCTCCTGGCAAATGCTCCCGCGATTGTGTTGCCTAGCGCCTAGTCGAAAACGTTGCAAGGCCTGTGGCAAATTCCTGTGTCTACAGCAAGAGTACCCACATCTACAAGTACTCCCGGTTCATCCGGCCCGTGCCCTGATAATTGACATCCAAATCCAAGGCCTGAAACCACAGCGTGCACTGCATAGTGCTGGGGGGTGGCTTGGGGGTTTGTGGGAGCTGCACCGGGTGCAACAAGTCCAAAACACACTTCAGGAGTCCTCCAATGTCTCACTCCCGATCCTGAGCTAGGACTTCGTTCGATGCTGGTATTCAACCTCCTGGTCTCAAGAATTCTCTCGGAGCCTTCAATTCCTCTTCCTCGCTAAGTCGGGGCTAGGGCCCTAAACTTGCCAGGGTCTACGGGTTCCGCGTGTGAGAAGTCTGTAACCTGTCACATTAAGATGCAAAAGTTGGCATCGCTCGGCAGATCTTTGCAGCATGGCCTGAAGTGAATTCACGGCTGCGTAGCCAACCATTCGAGCAAATGTGGAGCAGGTATGCTAAGCAGAAGGCAGCTGTGAAGCCCTTCTCTTTTTCCAAATAAATGAATTAATAATCAAATTTAAGAAATGCATATGAAAATATTCAAGATGATATTGAAAATATTGAAAAATAAATATTCAGGGCGCGAACTTCCAACCTCTCCGTAAATCAAGAAGAACAAGTGGACAACAGAGCTCCAACACAGGAACTTCTTAACTGAGACGCACCTCCGCTGGAACCATTGGCTCCTCCTGCCCATGCGGCAAGCAGTGCTTGGAGCGAGGAACTCAGGTTTAGGGTTTAGTTTAGGGTTTAGGGTTTAGGGTTTAGGGTTTAGGGTTTAGGGTTTTTGTACGGAACAGTTTTTACCCCCTCGACCATCAAAAGACTCGACTCGACACTCAAGGTGCGCCATGGCCCTGATGCCCCAAGCGGACCCCAAAGCGCAGGCCTCCGAGTCCCAGGGGCCGAGCCTCAGAGGTTTCGTGCTTTCATTGTGTGCTGCTTTTGTCCTGCCGGGCTACAAAAATCAAATCCAGATGTCAGAGGAAAAAATCAGATGACGCCTACGCCATGGCTCCTGAACAACCAACAACCCGTCAACAACCCGAACCTTTGTACCCCAGGAGTCCGACGACCAGATGAAATTCTTGCAGGAATTTGTAGCAACATCTTCACTTTCAAGCAACAGTGTGGTTCATGTAGGTTGTAGTTGCGAATGCGCGCCAGCGGTTTGCTGAGCTCTCGATAAATCTGTGATGCCCAGGGAGCGGGCATAGGGCAGGGCAAAAAATTACGATGCACGGCGCATTGCAACAGGGCCACCGACGTTCACAGTGCAAGTCCGCGCTGTGTGCTGGCAAGCTGCAGCTGCGTCAGTTCATCGCGTTTGCCCCGGCAGATCCTGCACAGGGGAGCGAGGGCAACAAACACCACAAGCTCTAAACGCTCATATGCCAGGCCCGATCCCAAAAAGACAAAACAAAAGAAAGCAACCGCACATCTAAAACTAAGGAACTCCAGGCGCTCGAGGCCCCCGATGCCCGGCTCTCAAAGCCTCAACCAATCAGAACCCCTTGTAACCCAAAGCACTTAGACAGGAACTGAATCCCCTCATGGCTATGAGGGTGGGGGGGGGGGGGGGGGAAATGCACTTTGGCCTATCAGCGGCTTTGAAGGGAGTTTAGGGCCTCAACTATCTGCAACCCTCCCTGAACAAGCCTTTTTTTGTGCCCACCTTTTGCATCCAGGCCTTTTCGAACACGTGCCCACCTTAAAACCCTAAACTTCCCTAAGCTTCCCCTTGCATCAAGGCGCCAGAGTTGCAGTCCCCAGCCCAGGCAGCTGAAGCCCGCTGTGAGGCCCAGCAGCCTCAGGCTTCTGGAAACTGACAGACGATTACGATGATTATGAACCTAAGAGAGCAGCCATTGTCTGAAGTGACACCCCTACAGCTCTCTTCAAAAAAGCTACTGGGCACCCATCAGAGCACGACTGGTCATGGTTTGCGAAGGAGGTGTTGGAGCTGACGCCCTATCTCTTAAACCCGGAACCCCAAATGCCAACTGCTTCAACCTTCAATCTATGCCGCACTCTCAGCCGAATCCGCCTGACACTCTGCACGCTTTCGTGCTGCCATTTTTCCAGATGCTGCTAGGGTTTTTTCCTTCTTCAAGAGAAGGAGGAGGGGCGCGTCCTCATACATGCATACTCGGCTCTTTCAGGGAAGACACTGCTGCAGACATGACATGTAGCGACCGGAGGCGCAGTTTCGCAGCCTCGGACTTTTCCGAAAAGCCGAGTATCCATGAGTTCTAGGAAACTTGACAACCTGACAGCCAAGCACCAGGACAGGATTCCTCTTGGTTCAGGAAAGCAAACGGAACCCCGCAAGATGCTTTGGCATCTAACAGCTAACACCTCACAGCCTCACGGCCCGCACCACCTGTGCCCTTGTGCCCCGGGGGCGCGGGGCATTCACCGGCTTGGCAGAGCGTTTCGGCGAGGCCTCTCAGACAGTTTCTCGCGCTGGAGCTCGGGCAAGGATTTGGCAAATGGTCGAGATGAAAACTGACGGCAGTTCCCAAACTGTGGCGTGATGCTTCGGGTCCTGACTTAGGAAGAAAAGGTCTTCAGAGGATCTCGGGTATCCATCTCCCAGCCCTAAACTTTCCATACTGACATGGCGAGATTTATCGAGATGTCATTACTTTCTCAAGACCAAGATAGGAGATTCCACTCCAACATAAGCCCTGACGACTGTCCATTTTGTCGGGGCCTCCTTCGCGGTCCTCTCCCTCCGCGTTCAGAAACTACGTACTAGGGTTTAGGGTTTCGGGCTTAGGCTCAGGGAGCGGCATTCGCCTGACAAGCCCTGGATTCTGCCCAAGGATGCCCTCCCGACCTTGTCGGCCGTGAAAGTCGTGGGGATAGGCATGTCTTTGTACATGAGGATCTCCCAGCCCTTCTCCAACTCCGACACCCGTGGCATCCTTAGCCAGCGTTCGTTCGGACATCATCTGGACGGGGCCAGGTTAGGGTTTAGTTCACTACAGTGATCTGCACATGCCCTCTGCTGTCTGCTTTCTCCGAGCCTGCAGGCTGCATTTTGTTGCATTGTGGCGGACAAGGTCTGGCCATAGACGGCATTTGTGAAACTGCCGGCGCTTTTCTAACTGAATAGAATCAATCATGCCGGGGCTGCGCAGACCCGCGCCATCTCTGGTCTGCGGCAGCCCTGGAAGAGTGCAAGCTGAGGCAAAAGCACAACAGCTGCAAGCATGTCGCTTACGTTAAAGTAAAACATTCAGCGTGGGGCAACGCCCGGTCACCGGGTTTCACAGCCCGGGCCCCCGACCCAACGAAGACATGCTGTCTCTGGCTGACTCGTCAAGAACAAGACAACAACGCCATAGGGAAGACAAATTGCTGGAATACCTATGACCAACGTGGTCATGAGCCGACTGGATGCC